CTCAAGTATAGCGGGGATTGTGGGGCTGGCGCAGGATCGGGCAGTGTTTCGTTCTGCTGTGCATGGGGTCGCTATGAGTCGGAAACGACTCAACGGCACTTAACAACAACAACTGCAGATGTACCTAACAGTAAGAAATTCACCATTATGAAATTCTAGTTATGAAACTCTCTTGAAATATGAAGCAATATTAAATTTATGACTAAATCTCCATTTATAAATGAAGATAGTACCTAGCAATTAGATGGGAAAAAAAAAAAGACTTATTGAATAAAATAGTGAAGTTCTTCTCATTTATTTTAAATTATTTCACTTACAATTCTGAGAGGTAGAGAAAAATCTATGGAAGATTTATTAATCCAGTTAACTATTTGACCACGCACAGAGAAAAGTATAAACCCCAAAGCTTTTGATTAATCACATCAATATTTTAATTGCTTTCCTATATAAATTTATTCCCCAAATAGCCTTCAATATACAAAACAGGAACTTGGAAAAAAAAAATTCTGCTCAGAAAAACAAGTGTCACTGTCTTTTATGACCATTTTTTCCATTTTGTTACACATCAGAGGAATAACAAGTATATTTGTGAAGCACGAGTGACTAAGTATATATGGAATCTGAATCACCAGATTTCAGAAATGAAAAATATTTTATACAAAAACATACTTAGTACTTACCATATAAAGTAGAGCTATCATTGTACTCTCATTACTTTAATTACGTACATTTTCAAATGTACATGGCATTTTTACAATACCATGATGAATCAGTGTTGTCTTTTAGAGAATAGAATGAAAAATCCATAATACATTTTATGAGAACAAAACATGGAATTAATTAGATAATTAGATTTTATTTTATATGCACATTTCTTATACTTTTAAAACAACACAAAGAAATGTTAGCTATTTAAATTACAAAGACACAATCAGATCATGTATGAGTAGCTTTCATGAAGAGCTGGGTTGAATTTTTAAAAATTAATATTCTGCTCTCATGGTGGCATATTCAATTGAGAGTTTTCTTAAGTCTGTAAGTCAAAAACCTAAAGGCAAAAAGCTACCAGTTAAAAGAATTAAAGGAATTATCAACTAATAGCAAGTCAAGGATATACCAGCAAGTATATGATCCTTGTTATGTAAGCATTAGTTATTGAGAAGAAGGAAGACTCATGTCACACTAAAATAAAAAGCATGTGTCCTTTCAACTCCATTATGTTTGCTCACTCAGTTTACCAATTATGTTTATAAAATTGAAAAACTTCATTTCTTAGTTATTGTTGTTTTTAGGTGCCATCAAGTAGATTTTGACTCAAACGAATACTTCAAGTTTAGGAAATTTAGAATTTCTTTCATCAAGTTTTCTTTTTCTAGTTATAGAAATAATACAACCCATTAGAAAAGTACAAAAATGAAATAAATTCATTTCATGATCCTGAAGGTTATACCAAAACTTTTTTAATAACTACATAATATTCCTTCAAATTTATTTCTTCAACTGTACAGGAAAAAGACAATAGATTATTTTAGTCTAAAATTTAAAGAGGAGACAAAATTCTATCCTCATTTCAAATTTTATACTTAAAGTGTTTTACCTTATGTTAAACAATAGCTAGGCATTTACTTTTTCATAAAGCATCAAACGAAACAAAACTAAATTTCTTTAGTATGGCAGGGAGTGAACAGAGGAAGAGCTAAAAATTAACACTGACAATTTAAAATTTTATCTGGGAAAAAAAATAAAATGATACATTTCCTAACACATTCTTAGTCTAGATGATGGAATACATGGGAATAGTTATTTCCTATTAATCTTCTTCAATATTTAGTATAGATTATCTCAGACCTACTCAGATCAAAAACATGGTGTTAATCATATTTCATATTGCACATCATTTTACAAATCATATTGTTTCAATATATCCACTCCACACTGAGTAAACTATGTATAACCTAAGGTTTAATACACTTACAGTTCCTTGTGTTTGTCTTCTGCCAAGATTTGGTCATTTGGTTTCAGAGAATACCTATAACACAAATACAAATATACACTGGTCACATAAACTTACAAGTACATTTGCCTCATGAACATCTGATTATAGTATCAGTAAAGTTAGTTGACCCCTGCCTCAAGTAAAGCATTGCTCCACTGTTACAGATTTCCGTCTTAATTGATAAATGCCAAGAAAGTCCAAGGAAATGGTATTTTGATATTATATTAGTCACTTTGACTAACACCACCCAAAGGGCTGCAGGGAGATCAACTGAACCATGATTGGAAAATATATCTTTACTATTCTTCTCTGAAGAATCTAGGAGCTCTGATGGCGTAGTGCTAAGGCACTTTATTGCTAACCAGAGGCTGGTAATTCAAACCAATCAGCCACTCCTCAGAAGGAAGAATGGGCAATCTGCTTTCATAGAGATACCACCTCAGAAACCCAAGGAGGGATTGCTATGAGTTGGAACTGACTTGTCCGCAGTGAGTTTGTTTTTTTGCTTTGTTTTGTTTTGTTTTTGGTACAGAATCTAGGAGCTCTGGTGGCGTAACGGTTAAGACATTCAGCTGCTAACCAAATGGCTGATGATTTAAACCCACAACCATGCCATGGGGGAAAAAATGTGGCAGTTTGTTTCTGTAAAGATTTGTTGTTGTTGATGTTAGGTACTATCAAGTCGGTTCCAACTCATAGCGACCACAAGTACAACAAAATGAAACACGGCCCAGTCCTGTATCAGCCTCACAAATCCTGCTATACCTGAGCCCATTGTTGCAGCCACTGTATTAATCCATCTTGTTGAGGGCCTTCCCCTTTTTTGCTGACCTTCTACTTTACCAGGCATGATATCCTTCTCCAAGGAATAGTCTCTTTTGACAACATGACCAAAGTAGATGAAACGAAGTAAAGATTTACAGCCTTGGTAACCCTGTAGGGCGGTTCTACTCTGTCCTATAGGGTCACTATAAGTTGGAATCAACTAGATGGCAGTGGGTTTTGGTAGAAAATCTATAATGTTATGCCTATCCAGCAGTTCTAAATTCAAGAAACTCTACAGTGTCAAATATTAAGAGTTCACAAAGTTATCCATTCATGAAGTACATAATAAACATTTGTGACCAACCTATGTACTAGATTGCATGACACAGCAGGAAGAGTAAGTTTGGGAGTTGCTGACTAAGTCATTTTCTAGCTTATTAACTGTCCTGGTTATCTAACACTCCTGGAACCGACCTGATGGCAGTAAGTTTGGTTTTGGTTTTAGCTGTAACAGAAATACCACAAGTGGATGGCTTTTACAAAAAGATTATTGTCTCACTATTTAGGAGGATAGAAGTCCAAACTCAGAGTGCTGGCTCTAGTAGAAAGTCCCTGTCTCTTCACTTTCTGCTTCCTGGTTCTTGGAGATCTCCACGTGTCTTGGCATCTATCTTACCCCATCTCTCTTTCTCTCTGCTCAATTGTTTAATCTTTTTTATATATATTTGAAAAGAGAATGACTCAAGATATACCCTACACTAATCGTGCTTCATTCTCATTCCCAAATAGGATTATAACCATAGGCACAGAGGTTAGAATTTACAACATATATGTTTTGGGGAACATAGGTTGGTCACAAATGTTTATTATGTACTTCATGAATGGATAACTTTGTGAACTCTTAATATTTGACACTGTAGAGTTTCTTGAATTTAGAACTGCTGGATAGGCATAACATTATAGATTTTCTACCAAAACCCACTGCCATCTAGTTGATTCCAACTTATAGTGACCCTATAGGACAGAGTAGAACCGCCCTACAGGGTTACCAAGGCTGTAAATCTTTACTTCGTTTCATCTACTTTGGTCATGTTGTCAAAAGAGACTATTCCTTGGAGAAGGATATCATGCCTGGTAAAGTAGAAGGTCAGCAAAAAAGGGGAAGGCCCTCAACAAGATGGATTAATACAGTGGCTGCAAAAATGGGAATAATTTTTTTTTTTTTTTTTTTTTAGGATTTGGGTGAAGATTTACAGAGTAAATTCACTTTTCATACAGCAGTTCACATATACTTTGTCTCATGTCATTGACCAAAATTTACAATGCAGCAGCTCCCCTCCCACTTCCTCCCCATAGTTACCTCTTCCCAGTGTCCATCCCTTCATACTCTTCTGCACCCTGAGCTATCTCCCTGTGCATAAGCAGCCCTTCCTTCTCCCATGATTGTTCTCTCCAGGGCGTGTGTCTACTTGAGGTAAATGTTTAACTCACATGCCTGTACTTTGTTTGGCTGGAAACCACAGTTGTGGGTTCAATTCCAGACCTGAAGGGCAGCCAGGGGCCATAGTCTCAGTGGTTACACCAGGCTCTATTGGACCAGCAAACCTGGTCCCCACCTTCTTTTTTTTTTTTTTTTTTGCCTCCAAATGATTTTGAGTTTTGTACCACATTGTTCTCTTGGAGAACATAATTTAACATATAATAATAAACATAGACAAGACTTCACCTTAAGTCTCAGTTTCCTGATCTATAAAGTAGAGATTGCTTTAAATAGTAGATTTGAGATCTTTCAAAGTGGTGTGTATTTGTACTGTTGAAGGTAAACAGACTTTATGAAGGGTACAGAGAAATAGCTTTATGGACAATTCCCAAATTCTCAATTTCATTTGTGCTCAATATTTTCCTGAAACTAATTTGTATGATAATGCACCAGAGACCCTGGTACAGAAGTCACAATGAGTCACCTTTCCTACTTCCCCTTTCACTAATGCCCTCACCCACTTTATAAAAAGAATGGCATACCTCATACCCATCCTGAATGGTACTGTATTCCCCTGTCTGGTGTGTAAAATGCCTGGAGCATTAAAGTAGGGATGATTCATAATATTTTGGTCTCCAAAGCCTTCTTCATACCATAAACTGAATACTGAGCTTCTTATTTTCTACCTTATTTCTGTAAAGAGTGACACTAAACTAAAACCAAAAACTAAACCCACTCCTATCAACTCGATTCTGACTCATAGCAACCAGAAAGGTCAGAGTAGAATTGCCCCACAGGGTTTCAAAGGCTGTAAATCCTTATGGAAGCAGACTGCCTCATCTTTCTCTCACAGAGCAGCTGGTGGGTTCAAATTACTGACATTCTGATTAGCAGCTGAGAGTTTTAACCACTGTACCACCAGAGCTCCTTAAGAGTGAAGCTAGAAATTAGAAATAGGGATTTGTGATAGGATGTTCTATACTCAGACACGGTGATAACAGTATTAATTTTAAAAGTTTACCTCTTACACTCTCTGATCATCATCAAAGAATGTACCACTTTTCAGGAACAGTTTCATGAAACAAAGTTATGAGAGTTTCCAATAAGAAGCAGTAAAGGTAGCATCAATTTATTATTTCCAGGCAACAAACTTAAAACAAAGCTCCTTGCCCTTCTATCTATTTCCTGAGCATTAAATATTAGAGGATGGTTCTCACACGGGCACTGTAGTGCTATGGGTTTCTCTTTATATATGGCCTTTCTGGTCCTAGGTCTGCCAAGATGACTTGCTAAACCACAATCTTGCACAGATTAGACAGTTTACTATGCAAATAAAGTATGTAAAACATTTGCAGGGATTGGTCAATTATTATGCAAATAAGATGCCAGTGGCCTACTGAGAATATTGTTCAATTTGTGGTCTAGGCAGTAGCAGCAGGCTTAAAAAAGAGCCTAGAGGTTGCAAGAAGATTTCACCACCATCAAGAAGAGCTGGGAGCAGACTAGATCCTTTGGAAATTGAGTCCCTGCACTGAGAAACCCCTGGAGGAAACCTTTAACACTGAAGATATTGTAATATGGTACAAGATAGCATAAGACGGTTGTGGTGGTTATGTTGTGTGTCAACTTGGCTGGGCCTGGTTGAGTGGCTGGGCAGATAGTGGTAGTTATTCCCCATGATGAGACTGGCACTCAACTCCATGGTGGAATCTACTACAAGCAACTGAGTAGCTGCCTTTGGGATGTGGTCTGCTTCCTGTATATAAGGAAAAGCCTTAGGAATGGTTTCTAATTTATGGCACACTGGACCCTGCATGTAGCCGTGTCATTGTTCAGCAGCCTGCCATGCTCTGCCAACCTTGGGACTTAGAATGGACTTAAATTAATGGCCTGCCATGTGGTTTGGTAATATCAGGACTGTGCCTTTTTACTTGTCAACCTTGGGGCTTCTCAGCCTCAGCAGCCAGCAGCTGTCTGAGTGAAGAAATGCATCTAGCTTCAGTGGGCCGGGAGCTGGATGCAGAGCTGAAGCCCAAGGCTGAGGGGCTTTCACCCAGCCCCTAGACCTGGCACCTTTGAACTTGGACTTCTAGCCTCCTGAACTGTAAAAGAATAAACTCCTGTTTGTTAAGGCCATCCCATTTGTTGTGTATTTCCTGTCAGAGCAGCACTAGGTAACCAGAACAATGGTGCAGTGGCACTAGCAGCAGTGGAGTGAGACACCTGCAATAAGCTTCCCAACCCACGAAGCGAGAGAGCTGAGCACCACCAGGTAGCGGTTTGCCAGTGGAGTGGAATGTCTCCAGGCACTTGATGGTGGAGCCAAAAGAGCTGTAACACTTGACAACTAAGCAGGCCCTGGTGCTAGAACCCAGGCCCAAGTAGGTGTCAGTGACGGAGGCCAACAGTGAGACCTGCTTGCAGACATGACTAAAAAAATGCTGAGAGTTTTCTGGTTGGAATCTGTCCTAACTAATGAACTATATCCTGTATCCTGTGACACGCACATTGATCCTGATCCTGAATTGTAACCTGTTACTTCCCTAATACACCAGATAATTATGAGTATGGTCTGTGTGTTCTGTGTGACCACTGTAACAAATTATCAAACCCACCAGAAAAGCACAGAGTGCTGTAGGGAGGACAGCTGGTGTCAGAAATGTTAAAAAAAAAAAAAAAGATTCAAGAGTGGAGATATGTCTGACTTCTCCTCAGAGGAATTAGGTTTGGGCTGATGGTGGTTCTTTGCTCTCGCCCTGAAATTACTTAACTTCTGATAATAGCTTAC